AGGGGAAAAAGAGGAGCAACTGCCCATTATTGAAATCAACCAAGATCTCTAAAACTAGGAGCCAACTTGGTCCATTTATTTATTTATTAAATATATTTTATTGATTTTTCTCAGAGAGGAAGAGAGAGGGACAGAGAGTCAGAAACATCGATGAGAATATCGATCAGCTGCCTCCTGCATACCCCCCATTGGAGGAGGGGGTGCCCACAACCAAGGTACATGCCCTTTATCAAAATTGAACCCAGGACAAGGCTGACACTCTATCCACCGAGCCAAACTGGTTTCAGCCAACCTGGTCCTTTTAATAGCCATGTGGCTGGTGACGTGTTTTCTCCAGATAAGCATCGCTGAAACGGATGCCTCGGCAATCAAAACAAAAGCTGGGCACGTACACTCCACACAGGGGAGGACCCACGTGTCAGGACTGACCCTGCACCCCCTTAAACGTGTGGCGCGCTTCTACCCCCCGACTTAGCATCCTCTGACACACTCTATATTCTATTATTTTCTCTTTTCCCATGGGGACAGGTTTTTTTCTTTGGTCACTTACTGTCACAAATTAAAAGCTCAATGAACATTTGTGGAATGAATGAATCAATGAATGAATGAACACACAGCTCTTGAGGTCAAGAAAGGTTTCCGGAGTTCATGTGGGGCCTTAAGATTTCTGCCAGACTGAGCCTTGGAGGCTGGCTCAGGTCACGGAAGATCAGAGTTCCCCAGGAAGGGAGGGGCCACCCCATGCACAGGCATGGGCACAGTGACCCCTTGTGGTCAGGGCTGAGCATAGCATCTTTCCCATCTCCCAGGACCTTCATGTCTATCACATGTGGATTCAATAGTGGTCGGGCTTGAATCCAGATAGGCTGTAAGTGTAACAGGCACACCAGATTTCAAAATCTCAGCAAAAGAAGAAGAAGAAAAAAAAAAAGAATACAAAATTTTTAAAAATTGCTTATCTGTTAAAGTCATATTTTAGATATAGTGGGTCAAATAAGATGTTATTTAAAGGTCACCTGTTGGCCGAAACTGGTTTATAGAGCATCGGCCTGAGGACTGAGGGGTCCCAGGTTCGATTCTGGTCCAAGGGCATGTACCTTGGTTGCGGGCACTTCCCCAGTATGGGGTGTGCAAGAGGCAGCTGATCGATGTTTCTCTCTCATCGATGTTTCTAACTATCCCTCTCCCTTCCTCTCTGTAATAAATCAATAAAATATATGTTAAAAAAATAAAATAAAGGTCACCTGTTCCACCCTGGCCAGGGTCGCTCAGTAGTTGGTGCGTTGGCCTAGGCTCCAAAGGGTCGCAGGTTAGATTCCTGGTCAAGGGCACATGCTTGAGTTGCAGGTTCAATCCCCGGCCCCAGTCAGGGTGTGTGTGGGAAACAACCAATAGATGTGTCTCTCACACACTGATGTTTCTCTCTCCCCACTGATTCCAGTTTCTCTTAAAAAAAAAAAAAAATTAATGGAAAAAATACACTTGGGTAAGGGTTAACAAAAAAATTAAACATCACCTGTTCCCTCCTTCTAAAATCTATTAGAGATAAAAAAGTAATAAAATATGACTATTAGAACCTTTAAAATTACAGCCTTGTCTGGGGGGGGGGGAGTTCAGTGGGTTAGAGCACCATGCCCACACACAAGGTTTTGGGTTCAATCCTGGGTCAGGGCACATACAAGAAGCAACCAATAAGTTCATAAATGAAGGGGAACAACAAACCGGCGTCTCTCTCCAATCAATCAATCAAAATGAAAAGAGAAACTTGATCATTGCATATATGATTCACACCGTATTTCTATTGAGTAACACTGCCCTAAATCACAATAGAAATCTAACCAAACACCCACTTCCTGGTGAGAGGGAGGAACTCAGCTGAACAGAAGGGAAACGGTCCCTTGCCCAAAGCCATAGGTGAATTAGAGGCCCACCACCAAGAACCCAGGCCCCCTGGCTTCCAGCAGGCAGCACAGCAAAAAGGGTCCGGCGTCCCACCTCCTTCCTAGAGCCACAAGCTTACCCTTTGTAAAATCGGGGACCAACCCCCCCCCCCCCCCCCCCCGCCCATCACACCTCTGAGCTAACACGGGAAGAAGTCTCTGCAGTGCACCCCACAGGAGCTATCCCATTGTGGTAACTATGATGTCAGGTGGGGACTAGACTTATTGGAGATGGGGAGAGCACTTTGGAAGCTATATAAATGTGCCATCACTGTGTTGTACACCTGAAACGAATATGATGTTGTATGGCAACTGTAATTGAAAAATAAGCATTGTATTTATTTATTTTTAAAATATATTTTGTTGATTTTTCACAGAGAGGAAGGGAGAGGAATAGAGAGCTAGAAACATTGATGAGAGAGAAACATCGACCAGCTGCCTCCTGCATGTCCCCCACTGGGGTTGTGCCCACAACCAATGCACATGCCCTTGACCAGAATCGAACCTGGGACCCCCCAGTTCTCAGACCAACGCTCTATCCACTGAACCAAATCGGTTCGGCATTATTTTAAAAAATAAAAAGCATCCCAATGGACCTTGATCATCGTGCGCCCCCTACAGTCCACAGCCCTCACTTGCAGCTGGAGTGAGCTTTGAGGCAATGGAAATCCGATCAGAACTTCTCTTGGTGGAAAGCTTCCCCATCCATGATCTACCATCACTCTTAGGCTCCATGCAAATATTTCCTGCCTCTGCAGACCCCTCACGGCCCGCCCTGGCTCCTGCCTCACCTCACCTGTTGCTGTCCTTCCTCTCCGCTCTGCTCTGGACGCACGTTTCCTGCAGTTCCCTGGATTGCTAAGCTTACTCCCCACTCCGTGGTTCCCTCCACCTGGGAAGCTCGCCCCCGAGATGGCTTTAGGATTCGTCCCTTTGCTTTCCTCTGGTCCCTGCTCACGTGTCACCTCTTCAGAGGCCTTGCCCCGAGCCCTGTGGGAACTGGCTCCCTCTCCTTACCCCACTTTTATTTGCTGCCTTCGCCATGGCGTGGCATGGCTTATTTGCTTATGGTCTGTCTCTCCCAGGCTGTGAACGTCAGAAAGGGCAGGGGCTTTCGTCTTTTGTTCACTGCGGTATTCCTAGCCCCTCAAGGAATTCCTAGCACCTGACACATAGGCCACAGGCAAGGTGCTCAATAGACATTTGTTGAGTGAACTATTAATGATAATACTCGATTTGATCACGGAAGAGGCAGGGCACCTGGTCCCTGTCCTCCAGCCCAATCTATCCTATATAACAGAGGTAATATGCAAATTGACCATCATGCCCTCACGTGTGATCACAAGATGGCCGGCAGAGGAGTGCAGTTGGGGGTGGGCGGCCAGGCCTGCAGAAGAAGGCAGTTGGGGGCAATCGGGCCAGCAGGGTAGCAGTTAGGGTTTGATCAGGCTGGCAGGGGAGTGGTTAGGGGGTGATCAGGCAGGCAGGTGAACAGTTGGGAGCCAACAGTCCTGGATTGTGAGAGGGATGTCCCCGATTGGAGAGGGTGCAGGCTGGACTGAGGGACACCGCCACACCCCCAGTGTACAAATTTTTTGTGCACCAGGCCTCTAGTGTGTGTGTGTGTGTGTAAATATATATATATATATATATATATATATATATATATATATATATATATGGCTAATATGCAAAGTGTCCCCTTGGGAGTTTGACTGGGAGACTCGCTATGATGTGTGCTGACCACCAGGGGGTGGCACAAAATGGAGGTAGGCCCCGGTCAGCAGCTGGAAGGTCCCCTAGGGACCCTACCCATGCACTGGGCTTCTAGTCTAATTTAAAAAAAGATGAAACCCTGAGTGTGGGTGGCCACACCGGAGGGCCGGATCCAGGGGATGGGGAGTGGATGGAGTGGGAGGAGAGAATCAGGAGGCTTCCAAGAGGCCCCTGGAGGATCTGAGCAGGAAGAGGGGAAAGGGAGGGCATTCCTGACAAGACACCAGCCAGGCAAAGCTTGAAGGTGGGACTGAAAACACCAGGTCTCCCCTGGGGGTCTCCACTGGCAGGACAGTAACCCTGAAACCTAGAGCCCCCTGGTGGCCAAACCTTAAGGTGAACAACCAAGCCCTTCCAACAGTGCTTTCATTGGGGGGGGGGGGGGGGGGCGCTCTGATTCCATGTTCAGAGGAGGCAACTGAAAACCAGAGAAGTCAAGTCACCCACCCAGGCTCACTCAGCTCGGCCTCCGAAAGCTGAGGTCTGGCCCTAACCCGTTTGGCCTACGGACTGTCCCAGGTTCGATTCCGGCCAAGGGCATATGCCTTGGTTGCGGGCACATCCCCAGTGGGGAGTGTGCAGGAGGCAGCTGATCGATGTTTCTCTCTCATCGATGTTTCTGACTCTCTATCCCTTCTCCCTTCCTCTCTGTAAAAAAAACTCAATAAAATATATTTAAACAATAAACAAAAGCTGAGGTCTGGGGACCCCACCCAGCTGGGCCTCACCCATCACAGACACCAGGAAGGGATTCAAGTGTGAGCAGGTGGGGGGCAATTCCCTGGTCTTCAAGAGCCCCAGGTAGACTCTGGTGTGACCCCCAGCTCGGTCCCTCCCCAGCCAGTTTCCCCGGTTCAGGCCACAGCCAATGAGATTATGCAAATGACAAGAGAGGGCGAGCCTGCAGGGTGCTCAGGTCTCAGAGAAGCACCTTGATTCCTGAGCCCTGTGCCCATCAAGGCGGCTTTGTTTATTCCTCTACAGGCAAACAGGAAACGCTTCTGCACAGTAGGTGCTCAGGAAGGTAGCACAGGAGTGAGGCAGCTCCCTCTCCCTGCTCCCCCCGCCCCTATTCCCACTCAGGAGTGGAAAGTTGCTCAGTCCCCTCCTCCCTCAGACCCTGGAGCCCAGGCCCCCACCCCAGCTCCTGCAGGGTCAGAGGTAAACGGGTCGGATCGTGCCTCCCTCCCAGAAGTCCTGGGCAAAGGTCACCCGGGGTTTATTCCCAGTGTCATTTTCAGGCGCCTCATGCCCAGAGCTCCCCAATGGAGAACTGGGGGGTCCCTAGAAGGTGAGAACTGCTGGAACGGCTTCTTTCCGTGCTGGGGGCTGGACCTGCTCCCGCTCCTCCTCCTGCGGAGTCCCCGATGCAGCCACCACCGCCGCCGCCGCCGCCGGCCCCACCTCGTCCCGCCCCCGGCGGCCCTTGCCGATGGCCAGGCGGGGCCGGCCGCGGTCCAGGCCGTCCAGCAGGGCGCAGGCCTGGCAGAGCGCGCGGCTGGCCAGCGCCCCGCAGCGGGAGCAGGCGCCGGCGGGCGGGGGCCGGGCGGCCGGGGCCAGCGCCAGGCGCTCGGCCGAGTGCACCAGGTCCAGCACCGCGGACGGCCGCGCCGCCTCCAGCAGCTTGAGCAGGTGGCGCGCGTGGCCGCGGAAGGCCTCGGGCGCGTACACGCACTCCTCGGAGAAGTAGTCCAGGCGGCGGAAGTGCGCGTACAGCACCACCTCCTTCTGCGAGGCCAGCTGCAGCGGGCGGCAGCGCGGCAGGGCGCCCCCCTCGCCCGCAGAGCCCAGGCCGCCGCCCCGGGCCAGCCGGCCCGCGTCGCCCCGCAGGAAGTTCATGAGCACCGTCTCCGCCATGTCGTCCGCGTTGTGGCCTGGAGGGGTAAAGGGGGGAGAGAGATGGGAGCCGGTCAGAGAGGGCGCAGGGGGCGCTGCTGCTCATGGGGATCTGGGGGACACAAGGGGCGGCGGGTTGCAGAAGGTGGACACGGTGAGAAACGGAGAGGACAAGCCCCCCCCCTCCATGGAGCCACTTGGGGTGCCCTCACTGTTACCCACCTACTGGGCGAGCCAGGCAGGCCCTGTGCTGAATGCCTACTGGGGATCGAGCCCGCAACCCGGTCATATGCCCTTGGCTAGAATCGAACCCAGTACCCTTCAGTCCGCAGGAGTCCGCAGGCCGAGGCTCTATCTACTGAGCCAAACCAGCCATTTTTAAAATTCGGATAAGCATGGCCCTAGGCCCTAAGGGTGCCCCTCCAGCCCTCTATTGGGGGCCCCTGTGTGTGTGCACCAAGGCGATGGCAGGGGCTCAAAAGCTCGCCACGCCTGCCCTGCCCTTTCCTGGGGGACGCACGCACGCACGCACGCACGCGCGCGCACACACACACACACACACACACACACACACACACACACGCCCATGAACCTTCTGGGGGACGCATATCCCTTTAACTGGGACCCTCCAGGGTCTCCTTTTCATTTCTCGGGCATGCGCATTAGCCCTGGTCATTGCTGCCCTCGCCCGCGCATGCGCGCCCCTTCCTCCCACAAAGTCCCTCCTGCGGCCACGCATGCGCTCACCGGTCACGACGTGCGTGGCTCCCACGTGGAGAGCCCCTTCCTCCCACAAAGTCCCTCCTGCGGCCGCGCATGCGCTCACCGGTCACGACATGCGTGGCTCCCACGTGGAGAGCCCCTTCCTCCCACAAATTCCCTCCTGCGGCCGCGCATGCGCGCCGCCCCTTCCTCCCACAAAGTCCCTCCTGCGGCCGCGCATGCGCTCACCGGTCACGACGTGCGTGGCTCCCACGAGGCGCGCCCCCTCCTCCAGCGCGCGCCGCCGCAGCACCCCGCAGAAGGTGCAGCAGGAGCGGCTGCGGCCGGAGCCGGCCGTGCTGCGGGCCACGGCGTCCATCGTCCAGCCCCCGAAGAGGTCGGCGTAGGCCACGATGGTGAGCGGCAGCTCCCAGCGCGCCGCCTGGCGCCGCACGGCCGCCAGCGCCGCGTCTCGGTAGCCGCCGATGCCCTCGTCCACCGCCACCAGCTGCAGCGAGACGCCCAGGCGCGGCGCCAGCTCGCGCAGCACGTGCGCCAGCACCGTGGAGTCCTTGCCGCCCGAGGCCCCCACGGCCACCACGGCGCCCGGCGGCAGCAGGCGGCCCGCCACCACCGTGTGCAGCACCTCGGCCTCGAAGGCGGCGCAGAAGCAGGCGCCGCACAGCGCTTGGCCGGAGCGCGGGCGGCGGAGGGCGGCGCGGGCCTTGCCGCAGGAGGCGCACTGCGGGGCCGGCATCGCGGGGGTCCGGGCGGGTGGGTGCGGAAGGGTCCGCTGCTCCTGGATTGGAAGAGAAGGGAAGCGGTTACAGGTGGATCCGGATGGATGGCGGGGTCACCTCCAAGCGAGACTGTGGAAAACGCTCTGCCTGAAACAGAGCCGAGGAGTGTGCCCATGGAGCAGGCTAATAGATTAAATAGAGAAGTCTGGAGACCGGGAAGGCAGGACACAGGCTTTATTGGAGGGAAGGGTACCCCTGCCGGCTGCTTCCAGAGAGAGCGGAAGAGAGCGAAGGCCAGGCTGGGGTACAAGCACCTTTAAGGATAGGGGATGGGGCTTAGGGCACTCAGCACACGCTGATTGGTGATTAGGGACATAGGGACTTAGGAATCAGGGGCTTAGGGTATTTGGCAGGTGCTGATTGGTGGCTCAGAGCTCAGGATTGTCTGGCAGCAGGTGGGATTTACATCTGTCTATCAACTGGAGGAAGGGAGGATCTATCACAGGCTTTGGAGACAGGGTGGCCTACACAAGTTCTGGCTTAAGGATTCTGCTATGACAGGCACAGCATTCTCCATAGTCAGAGGCATCCTGCCCAGGAGCTTGTCTACATCCTGTCCTGCGTCTCACCTCGCTTCATGGCCGATGGCCTATTAACAGGGGAGACCTAGAATCTGATAATGGAGCACCTGGATTAATCTGAAAGGTAATCATATTATTTTAAATCTTTAAAAAATATATTTCATTGATTTTTTAGAGAGGAAGAGAGAGGGTGAGAGAGTTAAAAACATCTATTCAGCTGCCTCCTGCACAACCCCACCTGGGGATGTGCCCACAACCAAGGTACACGCCCTTGACCGGAATCAAACCTGGGACCCTTCAGTCTGCAGGCCGATGCTCTATCCACTGAGCCAAACCAGGCAGGGCTTATTTTAATCTTAAAATACATATACTTATGTGAATAGGAGGTTAAGTTTTTAAGTTTCCTTTTCTTTTTTCTTTTTTTTAAAATATATTTTATTGATTTTTCGCAGAGAGGAAGGGAGAGGGATAGAGAGCTAGAAACGTCGATGAGAGAGAAACATCGACCAGCTGCCTCCTGCACACGCCCTACCGGGGATGTGCCCGCAACCAACGTACATGCCCCTGACCGGAATCGAACCCGGGACCTTTCAGTCCGCAGGCCGACGCTCTACCGCTGAGCCAAACTGGTTTAGGCTCCTTTTCTTTTTTAAAAAGAAAAATATTTTTATTGATTTCAGAGAGGAAGGGAGAGAGAGAAATATCCATGATGAGAGAGAATCATGGATTAGCTGCCTCCTGCATGCTTCACACTGGGGATTGAGCCCACAACCTGGGCATGTGCCCTGACCGTGAATCGAACCCTGTCCTCCTGGTTCATAGGTCAATGCTAAACTGCTGAGCCACGCTGGCTGGGCTTAAGTTTCCTTTCCAAGGCCTGTGCAAACCAATGAAGGAGGTGACTCAGCTGTGGATTCAGCAAGCAGAATTGAACCAGTAAGCACGGTCAGACCGACCCACCAGGAGTCAAAACATCATCTCATCGCCTGATGGCACGGACAATAGCTGACCTCCGTTCACAGCCTCACCCTAGCCCCTTCCCTTTTATAATCCTGCCCCCTTGTACCCTGCTACAAGGAAGGATTTGAATGCTTGCAAGTGCCCTGTGTTCTTGGTTGGCTGGCCTTCTCAGTAAATGCCTTATGTGATTCAACCCTGCCTTCCTCGTAATTGGACACAGCAACAGGCAGCCGGAGCCCACATCCTGATAACACCATGGAGCCCTATGCGATCTGTCTGGCTCCCATTTCCGGTGACCTCCTACCCCAGTCTCCTTCCGCCATGCTGGCCTCTCCTCTCAAGACATCCCAGGGACACTCCGGTCTGTGTTTGCACTGGCTCTTCCCTCTGCCTAGAACCATGGTCGGCAAACTGCGGCTCGCAAGCCACTTTCGGCTCTTTGGCCCCTTGAGTGTGGCTCTTCCACACAATACCATGGCCTGGGCGAGTCTATTTTGAAGAATTGGCGTTAGAGGAAGTTTAAGTTTAAAAGAATTTGGCTCTCAAAAGAAATTTCAATCATTGACCTGTTGATATTTGGCTTGGTTGACTAATGAGTTTGCCGACCACTGGGCTAGAATATTCTTCCGTCACTGGGCTCAGCAAGGAGCTCTTAGGACCCATCCTCCATGACTGCCTGTCACCCTTGAAATCTTTTCTCCTTCTAGTTTTTGTTTTTGAGAATAGTTTGTTGATTTGTAGAGAGAAAGAAAGGGAGAAGAAAGAAACATCGATGTGAGAGTACAATATCGATTAGCTGCCTCCCACACCTGCCTGGATGAGGGATTGAGCCTGAAACCCGGGCATGTGCCCTGACTGGGAATCGAACCAGCAACCCTTTGGTGCACAGGACAATGCCCACATTATTTAAAAAAAAAAAAAAAAAAAATTATTGATTTTTTTACAGAGAGGAAGAGAGAGAGATAGAGAGTTAGACACATCAATGAGAGAGAAACATCGATCAGCTGCCTCTTGCATACCCTCTACTGGAGATGGGCCCGCAACCAAGGTACAAACCCTTGACAGGAATCGAACCTGGGACCCTTCAGTCCGCAGGCCGACGCTCTATCCATGTAGCCAAACTGGTTTCAGCTGGACTTAAGTATTAAAACGATCCCTTTCGCTGCTGTGAGGAGAACAGACTCTGTTCCCTACATGGGGTAAAGACCGGGTGGCCTTCGAGGAGGCTATAGGGCAATTAATAGTCAGTGGGAGCCTTGGCTGGTGGGCTCAGTTGGTTGGACATCGTCCCTTTGATTCCTGGTCAGGCCAGAATCCTGGTTTCCGGTTCTTAGATCATCACATTGACATTTTTCTCTCTCCTTCCTTTCCTGTCCTCTCTTTCTAAAATCAACAAAAACATATTTGGAAAACATTAAAAAAAAAAAAAGTCCGTGAGAGATGATGTGGCCCGAGTGGAGGTGGGAAGAAACAGGGGTTTGGATCTGTTTTGAAGGTAGAACCCATAGGACTTGCCCAGAACATGGACCGGGGTGGAGGATAGGGTGATGAGAAAAGAGGAATGAAGAATGCCTTTGAGGTTTAGGTCAAGGCACCTGGGGAGATGATGGGCCAGTTAAGTGGGGAGGTGGGGAGGGAACAACTAGGAATTCCACTGGGACGTGTCAGGTTTGAAGTCCCCGTTAAGCAAACGTCTTCTCTTCAAAGACTTTAGGGACTCCAGGATGGGCCTGGCCCCTCCTCCGGGCTCCCAGAGCCGCCTGCATGCCTCATCCCAGCCCAACCAGGACTCTACCTGTCCCTGACAGGCCCACTGCGAGCTCACGAACAGCAGGGCTGGGTCTGCCTCTCCACCATCCTCTCCCTCCACTTCGCACACAGTGTAGGCGCTCAGTATATGTCTGTAGGATGAAGGGGTAATAAGTGCACCCCGAGGACGGCACGCGGACCCCTGGGAAGCCTGCGGACTGCTGCCTTGTCAGAGGATTGATGTGGTGTGACCGCTATCATGACGGGGGTTCTAGGGCAGAGCAGGGACCTTCCGGACACGAACCGGATTAGAGGCCGGGGCAGGGAGATGGTCGAACCCGACTTGGGGAAGGCAAGAGACAGGCGAGCCTCCGGGTCCCACGTGGGGATCCTGGTCAGAAGGAAGGCCTGGGGATACAGACGCTGGGAAATCACAAAGGCGAGACCCTAACTCACCCGACACCGCAACCAAGAGCGGCCGCCCGCGGGCCCGGGGAGAAAATACTCACTTTATGCAGAATGTGGTGCTGGGGTGGCCAAGCTGCTAGACATGCGGAAGCCCCGCACGGAAGTGGCTCCGGAGACTACGACTCCCACAAGGCTGTGCGGCTGACTTGCCTACGGCTCCCAGAATCCCGTGCAAAAGCTCTGCTCCAAAGCACATGTGGCTACTGGGCCCGCTCGGCCTACAACTCCCAGCAATCCTTGCGGCTCCCCTTGGGCTCCGCCTACCGCTTCCCAAAGACATTGCCGGGTTTCCTTTCTGCGCCTGCGCAGAGGCTTGGGACGCAGCCGAGCAGTGTGCAAAGTGGCTGCGTCCGCGTATCTGCTTTTGTGGGATTTTTATAGGCTTTTTAATGGATTTGAGGTGGGGTTGCAGGTGGAAATTGAAGGTGGGAGTGAGGGGTTCGGTCGCGAGGTCAGCGCGTGCACAGGGCAGAGTTTCCGATGGTGGGGGCTCCTAGGGTCTGTGGATTGGGGTGTGTGTGGGGATGGGAGTGGGGGAGTCTCCGCATGTCTGCGGATTGATTTTGGTGCACATGAGCTTGTGGAATGGGGAAACGAGCCGCCATGAGTGAGCTGAGGTCTTTGCCCCTGCGTCTGTTGTTAATGATTTGGGGCTGGGGTGGGGGCGGGGTCTCTGTAGGTGCCCCTGGCTGGCCCTGGGTAGTGGATGTGCATGGGATCCGCTGCACAGACCTGGCCAGGGAACCGGTACACATTTCTTATTATGTAAAGGTGGAGCTGGGTGATGGAGGGTGAGGGAGAGGTCCTAATGGGACTGGGACAGTCGTCGGCAAACTCATTAGTCAACAGAGCCAAATATCAACAGTACAACGATTGAAATTTCTTTTGAGAGCTCAGGTTTTTAAACTTAAAATTTCTCCTAACATCACTTCTTTAAAATAGGCTCATCGGGCCGAAACCAGTTTGGCTCAGTGGTAGAGCGTCGGTCTGCGGACTGAAAGGTCCCAGGTTCGATTCCGATCAAGGACATGTACGTTGGTTGCGGGCACATCCCCGGTGGGGGGGTGTACAAGAGGCAGCTGGTCGATGTTTCTCTCTCATCTGTATCTCTCTCCCTTCCTCTCTGTAAAAAATCAATAAAATAAATTTTAAAAATAATAATAGAAAGAAAGAAAGAAAGAGAGAGAGAGAGAGAGAGAGAGAGAGAGAAGAAAGAAAGAAAGAAAGAAAGAAAGAAAGAAAGAAAGAAAGAAAGAAAG